TTGTGCTGTGGCCACTTAGCTGTTCATTAAACACTTCAGATCTTAACACATTATCAAATATGTAATTTGGAAATATTTTCTCCCGTTTTAGGGGTTACTCTTCACTGCAATAACACATCCTTTAACATACACTTTTAGGTCTGATGTAGTCTGGTTTATCTATTTATTCTTCTGTTGCTTGTTCTTTTGCTGTTATACCCAAAAGAAAAAGGAAGGAACCCAGCAAGAGGAAGCTTTTCCTGTTTCTCCAGTTCCTATATACATACGTTTGATTGACTCTAGTTACCTACTTGTCCACATTCCCTTTCTCAGGCATAATCCAGCTTTCCCAGTACCATCTGACAAAATAACTGTCCTCTACTCCAGCACACAGGCTACATTTTGGACACCGAGTGTTGCACAAAGATACTTGTGTTAAGGGGGGCACTCCTGAGAAGCCACAGAACACGAGTGTGATGCCCTTTGCAAGCTTTTAGGCCACTAAGAGCCTAAAAGGGAGACTGTGGAGCACGTCTTTCTAGTCTGCTTTTTAGACCTGGGTGAGCAGTTCACAGCTTCTGGATCCCAGCACACCACCTGGCAACCCTACAAAAGGTCTGAGAGTAGTGGGTTTACCTTCTTACACAGTGAAATCTCTAAAACTGTGGGCACAGGTAAATTCTTCCTCATTACAAATTAATTACCTGGGGTATTCTGGCAAAGGTTAAGGCTGACTAACACAAGGGGCTTCAGCACCACTGTCGACAGTCTACTGAGCACACATGAGGGCTCTGTTTCACTTCAGAGGTGCATCGTGCCTCTTTCTTCCTGCCACACTGCACAGCTCTCATTACAGTGATCTTCACTTCTTTTTCTTTCTTTTCAAAATTTGTTTGAATGTTTACTGGCCCTGGAATTTATCCACTTTTCCAAAAAGTATTGTTACAGTTTTGGTAGAATACAAGAATCTGCAGATCACTGGGTGATCTTAATAGTCCCAGTCTTCCAATAATTTAACAGGAAATGCTTTTTCATATATTGCTATTTTCTTTCCTTTGTTTGTGTTTATGCTTTTAGAGACAGGGTTTCTCTGTGTAGCCTTGGCTGTCCTGCACTCGCTTTGTAGATCAGGCTGGTCTTGAACTCACAGCAACCTGCCTGCCTCTGCCTCCCCAAGTGCTGAGATTACAGTGTGAGCCACCACGCCCGGCTTTCTTTAATTCCTTTCAGCAGCATCTTATTTTCAGTGCCCTGGTTAAGAATACTGTTTCTGATGATATTCTAAATTAACTGTGTCTACAATCGACACATTCCATGTCAAGGTCAAGAGGACTGTAACTTCTGTTCTCACTGAATTCTAAGGCTTCCACTGCTGCATAAATCATCTATGGATATTAAATGGAGAACCTGTCTAAGGGTATTGCGGGAAATCACAGAATCGTAGCCACATACCATGTCTGCCAGAAATCTGAAGAGATAAATTTAGAGGCCATTCAGCTGCCTTTGTCAAGCTTGTAAACTCCTGAAGTCACTGGAGAAACCCAACCCAGCCACACTGCTACTGCACAGGATGATGAACAAGTGAAACATTTTCCTAAAGCTAGGCCTGGCAAAATACTCATATCCTGGGACCTACATAGTAGAAAAAGAGTACTGACTACTCTGGATTGTCCTGACATCGACATGTGTGCAGTAGCCAGACATGCCCGTGCACACCCAAAAATAAACCAGTAAATAAAGGAGATCTTAAAACACTTAAAGCTATTAAGTGTGAGGAGGATTCCAAAGACCACTGAAGCAGAATTCAATAATCTTATTTGCTATTTTTTTAATCTGTGGTATCTTATCCACTACCATTGCTTGCTCATTTTAAACCATCTAAGAGGCTATTAAGATTCATTCTAAATAAGACAGAATTCTTCGATGCTAAATATTCTACATTATTTATCATGTTCATGAATGATTTACAGTTTGAATGTCAGCATCCTAAATAATTTATGTATTTTTTAAAGTAGATGGCTTAAAATGAAATCTTAGCAGAACAAAAGAAATACAGATTTTGTTTTTACTAAGATCTTCAAAATTGAAAAAACAGTAAACAGATTTTGCAGCTATTTTTAGGCTAACCCATGGATCATGGTAATAATATTTACTAGTAATTATTACTAAATTTATGGAAGAGAGAATTTTACATATACCTTATTATAAAAAAACTGAAATAATCAGACATTTAGAAGAAAAGTATTCAAAATTTAAAATATTTATAATTCCAGGTCAGCAAATGGCACTTGACACCAAGCCCAGTGGCCCACATCTCACATGGTGGGATGTGAGAACTGATTCCCATCTTCTGGTTTCTAAGCATACATGTTTGAACACATGTACATACACGCACACAAATACATATACAAAAATAAGTGATTTTTAAAAGATGATCAATCCTCATTCAGAAAGGCAAACCGGATGGCCATGGGAAGAGGGAGAAAACAGGGAACAGGACAGGAGCCTACCACAGAGGGCCTCTGAAAGACTCTACCCTACAGGGTATTAAAGCAGATGCTGAGACTCATAACCAAACTTTGGGCAGAGTGCAGGGAATCTTAGGAAAGAAGTGGGAGACAGAAAGACCTGGAGCGGACAGGAGATCCAAAAGGAGAACAACAGAAACAAAAAATCTGGGCACAGGGGTCTTTTCTGAGACTGACACCACAACCCAGGACCATTCATGGGGATAACCTAGAACCCCTGCACAGATGTAGCCCATGGCAACTCAATATCCAAGTGGGTTTCATAGTAATGGGAACAGGAACTGTCTCTCACATGAACTCAGTGGTTGGTTCTTTGATCACCTCCCCCTGAGGGGGAATCAGCCTTGCCAGGCCACAGAGGAAGACAATACAGCCAGCCCTGATGAAATGCGATAGGCTAGGGTCAGAGGGAAGGGGAGGAGGACCTCCCCTATCAGTGGATTTGGGGAGGTGCATGGGAGGAGATGAGGGAGGGAGGGTGGGATTGGGAGGGAATAAGGGAAAGGGCTACAGCTGGGATACAAAGTGAATAAACTATAATTAATAAAAAATAAATAAATTAAACAAAAGGTAATAAGAAAAAAGTCATTACTTTAAAATAATTATAATCCCAAAGTATGACATTTAAGAAAAATGGTTAATTCTACTTAAATTTTTTTTCTTTTTAAAACAATTTATTGGTGTAAAGCATATTTCAACAAAAATTCATTTACATGTAACAACTGAAACAGAACAACAACAACCAGAAAGAGAATGAGGAACAACATCTGGTTCAGTATAAGAGGAGAGGAGAACATTCTAAGTGAGGAGCTCCACTCCCCATGATCAGCTTTCTAGACCAAAAACAGATGAGAATAACCTGACAAGTGAGAGGAAGGCAGGCCGATGACAAAGTTCTATGCTCCCTGAACTTGTTGTTTTGTTCTGTTTTGGTCCTTGTCTTCCCCCAACCAACGTTCTACAACATGATATCATAAGCTGGGTATAAACTGCTAAACTCCACTTGATATGGTCTAGAAAGTTGAAACTCCAGGCACCAACATACTTAGTATCTGGTGCAGATTTACTACTGCATAGACAGCACCATTTTTTTTTTTCGGTTTATTCATGTAGTGGAAATAATGAATAAGATATTTTGACTGTTTTAAGGGTCCTAATATTCTTTTGGAGTGCTAGCTAACTAAACAAACAGGAAACTAGCAGCCTACTGAAAGGAACTTTTCTCCGAATATCTTAGGAAATATTTCTTGTGCTGTTTTCTCTGTTTATTAGCTACCAGAGTCCCATGAAGCCTACGAATCACTTCTGCTTTTTACTAACACGGTTGTGTTTTTGCCTTTCTTTAGTTGATACTATGCTCAGAGAGATGTACAATGATGCCCTACTGACCAACGATTATTATATTTAATATGAATAGTCTAAACATTTATCTTACGACACAGTTTGGCTAAATGGGTATAAAAACAGATGCTACTTATATGCTGTTTTCAAAATTCTGCTTCCATTCAATTCTTAAAGGAGGTAATGATAAAACAATAGAAATAGATAGGCTTACAAATGTGAGTGAAAAGAAAGCTGGTAGAATTATAGTGAGCATTGGTATAAGGTACTACAGAGCAAAGACAACTACCAGATGTAAGCGGCAGCAGTACAAATATACATGACTAATTCACTGAGAGTATATGGCAATCACACATCTGTATGCACCAGGATACTATTGCATCTTTTTTTTTAATTTTATTTTTTTCTTATTAGTTACATTTTTCTACTTAAAATTTTAAGATATGCATCTATATACATTTTTTGCTTATAAGTATTGTTTATTAATACATATAATTATAGAGAATTATAATTTTATTTGAAAAATAACTTCCAAAATATTCTGCAAAAGTAACAAATTATTTAAAACTTGGTGAAGCAAAATTTTACTGCAATTTTTATTTTGTTTCATCAAAGAATTCAAAGGATTGTTTTTCAAGTTCTGGAAACAAGTACATTAAAATGATTGTTCTGTGTTCTTTGCATTCTTAACAGAAACAATAATGAACCAAGTAGAAGAAATAAAGAAAATGTAACAAAATACACACTAGGACACAATTTTATATTAAAGCTCTCTCCCACCTAGACACAATTTTAATGAAAAAAATCAAGTCTAATTTACATTGGCTTCAGTTAATTTTCAGTGTCTAGGTTATGAGATAAAGTCCATGTGCAAGTCATGTTGGAGTATTTTGACTCTGCGTGATTTATTTTGATAACTGAAATGGTTATCATTTACAGTATTTTAGAGGGCCTAAATATTTCTCTAAATTCAAGCTGATCTATTCAGCAATATTTACATTTTGCTGTTAGTACAGTTCTATAAGTAAGCTACAATTCCAGCCATAGCTATCGCTACACAGTGTGTAATTCATAAATATACTGCCCTTATTTATGAACTATGTCCCTCAATGTGATAAAGAAAGAAAAATGAGAGAAAGAGAATACACTTACAAAGTCGAAGTCTCCGTCTTGAGGAACTCTCCAGTTATCAGGGAAAACACTGTTTGTCGCAGGGCAGGGCTCATGCATGTTCTGATCACAATTTTCGTGACTCTTGTTCTTGAAGTCTTGCTTATCAAAGTAGTCCATGAAAGATGGTCTTTGTACTTGGGGTGATGTTGCATTTCCTTAGGTAAGCAAATGCAGAAGGAGGGTATAAGTTCTAACATTTAAAAAAAATATGACATTTATTTAAATCGGGGATTATTTTTAGTGAGCCATATAATCAATTTGTCCTGGTCAAAGTCAAGGCTGACAGTAAGTTCGTGAATAGAAGGCAAGATGAAAGAAACAGTACTGAGACCAAAACAAGTTTCAAATAAATACATAAAGACCCCAAATATTCTTGATTATAAAAACACTTCATTATTTTAGTAGAAACTTTATCATAATTTTACTAAAATATTACCAATGTCAGGGCAATACATCTAAAACATTTCTGTTGTTTCTGTTTGTCTGTGCTGCTCTATGATATACTTTTAAGCTGTTAAGAAACTGGAAGGACTGATGAAGTTTTTTCTTCCATCAATTGCTTCCTTGTATGTCTTTGTAGCTGATTCCTCAGCTCCCTGGGCTCTTATGGCTTTGCCTGTCTTATTTACAGCTATGTCTCATGAAGGCATTTCTTTAGCTCAAACTGTTTTAAGCTCTATTTCCAAGTTTACAACTGCTTGTTATTATACCACTTAGTGGATATGTATCTGAGTTAACAGTTAACTTCTGACACTAAGACCAAGACTCTTCCCCCAAATTTGTAGTTCCTCCCACCATTCCATTCACATCTCTGCCAATGTCAACATCTTTTACTCAATCCTCACAGTAATGAAGCTGAGAATTCATTCAGACTTTACTCTTCCTAAAACTGACCCAAAAGTGGCTTTTAATTCTTTTTCTCAAGAGTTGTTTAAATTTTCTTTAACACAAAATCTGTAACTATTTTTGTCTACACCACAAGAAATGACTGATGGCACAGCAGACTCCGAACCACTGTGCTCCAGGGAACACAACTCTGATTATACTGTCACCAGAGTGACCTTTATAATTACAAACAAACCAGGTCATTCTGCTCAGAATCTTTTGATGGCTTATTTTTGTTATTGAACAATTACAGTAAAAAATAAACATTGTGAATAACGAATTAAAAAAATGTGGTTGAGGCCTTCATTGGTAGTTTCTAAATTGGATTCCTTAAAGTCTAAAGGCTTTAAGAATGTCCCAGAGACCACCAAGAAGGCATTGCTCATATAATTCTCTAGATAGGAAGTAAGCTACCTTCTTTTTACAGAAGGACTTCTGGGGGGGGGGGGGTGCGGTGTACAGGAAACTGAACTTTGCCCTGTCACTTATATTCATGTTTCAAGTAAGCCCCTTTCACATATTTGTCACTCACACATCAGATGGCAAAGGTGATGGTTCTGTCTTTGCTGTTTGTTTTCAGATAAAACAGCCCCAGTTCTGTCAACATGACATGTTCCTCAGACTCCTTACCATCCTATTTACTTGCCTATAGGAACACATCAGCCTCACAATGCTGTAAATTGAGACAATAGTCAAAACAGCCATCTGGCCAATTTAGAATGCACTTGCTTAACTCTGACAGTGAAAAAGCACTGTTGACTAAAGATGGGATATGAAATTATTTTCAACAGAACAACACAATGCTAAAAAGCTGCACTTTCACTCTCTAACAGAGGATGAATCAGAATCAATACCTACTTTCTGTCATAAGTTCAAGAGTGAGGAATTCTTTAACTTAAAAAAAAAGAGAGGCAATGTCCAACTCCAATATGGTAGTTTTATCTTATTATATTTTATTTTGTCATGTTTCATTATTATCCTTTAGAAGCCTGTTTGTTTTCTAATGGGACAGAAAAGAAATGGCTCTGGATAGGAGGGGAGATAGAAAGCAACTAGGAGGAGTAGAGGGAGGGAGAAACCATAATAAGGGTATATTATGTGCTAAAAAAAAATGTATTTTCATACAGGCATCCATCTTATCTTTCCTTTCCTACCTCACAAAGCTCTATGTGTACTTATTTGTCATATTTGGATTGTAGATGAATTTGCTCAGGTAAGGACATAAGAAACAAGAAAAACAGTGCATGTATTTGTCTAAAATACCTCATGTTTTTTAAATGATGCAATTTTCCTAACACTAAAAACTTTTTACTGGCTTCATACTGGCTAGGTAGTTTATTTTAAATGGTAAACCACATATAACATAAAATTTATACCTCTTTCCTAGTATATATCTAAAAAGCTAAAAGAGGGGTCATGTAGACACATTTGCACATCCACAGTGTTATTCACAGTGGCTAAAACAGAGAAGCCACTCAACTGTTGATTGACAGACAAGATTAGCAAGGGAAGGGGGAAGGTGCCGGTGGATGCAACAAGATTATATCACTGACACAAATGGAAAACACATTTCATTTCATTAACATTTTTAACAAATTTTAAATGCCCTTCATTTGTCTCTGGACCTCATTACTAAAACACATATTTCTGCATTTTCAGAACTGAAATTAGGTTCTACTGCAATTTCTTACAATAAAACAGGATCTATAAATTGAACCTCAGTCTCAATTTGTACTTATTTTATGAGAATAGAGAAAAATAACACATTAAGTTAAAACTACATTTGTATAAATTCTCTGTAAGATACTAGAGAAAATCAAATAACAAAGTGAGAAGTGAGGAGATAACAAAGAAGTCCTTTATTTAGTATTTTTCTCTCTTTTTTAATTTACTTCCTTCCTCCCTCTCTCCTTTCTCCTTCATTGCTCTTATTAAAAGTAAATATGTGTGTGTCATGGAATTATATGCATAGCTGTTTAAGTGCTGATTTTCAACAAGTCTTAAAATGAGTCATATGTATAAAGACATTTGAAAATTTTAACATAAACACAATAAGCATTCTTTATGCTCATACAGGAAACCTGAATCAGAGAGGAGAGAAAAAAATGACCTTTGGTGGATGGAACTTAAGCAATGGGAAAGTAAAATTTGCAAAGACCCAGGTTGGTTGGCCCTGAACTCACAATCTTCTTGCTTCAGCTTCCTGAGTGTTGACCTCCTTCTTTACAAGTAAATTCAGTATGTACAAGAGCTTTGCTTTCTCTCTCTCTCTCTTCAAAACAACTAATATTGGTCAGTAAGCCCTGACCAATATTCCTTCTCAGATCTTCCTCCTCTCTGCATACCAGGCCATGAGCACACTGTTCTCACTACCTCTCTTTTTACTCAGCACTGGTTTTACTTCTGATATTCTAGACATGATCTATGCTTTCTCCTAACACATGGAATCTCTTCTTTCAGAAACTCTACCAATAGTTTGGTGTTATAGTGAAGCACTTGTTGGAGGTTGGTTTGATGCTGGCTCTCAAGATCTGGTTAAACCAATCCTTGTTAAACCAAACCTGCCTAAGTCATTATACCTGAGTGGCTGATTAAACAGCTTATACCTGGGCAGGGCAGAAAGGGGTAGGCGTGGCTAGGGTTCCTGGGCTTTTGGGTTCAAGAGAGAATCATGGAAAAGAGATGGACAAACAGGAAGAGAAGAGGAAGGAGGATGCCACAATGGGGTGTGGGAAAGAAACCACCTGGGCTGAGAGGAAGGACTCCAATATCGGCATGAAAAGGCCCAGATAAAAAATACAAGCAAATACCATGGGATTATGTATGGAAGGTAGACCAGAGGAGGAGGATTAAGGTGGATGGCATTGGATGGGAGCTGGGAGATGGATAGTGAGGTTATTGAGCCAGCGTATGTAAAATATCTGCCTGGCCCAAGGTAAGTAAGGCAATTATAAAATCTAACAGGTGTCTATGACTTATTATTTGTGATAGCATGTTAAATAACACCACTCTGATAATCTTAGGGCTAATAAATAACATTATATAGTCCAAAACACTTTTTTATTTACTACAACAAGCACTTAAGGGTCTTTTGATATACAAGTGACTCCCTTTCTAAATGTGTGACTGATGCAAGTGTGTGTGTGTGTGTGTGTGTGAACTAAACCCTGGGTCTTGCACCATCACTGTCTCACTGAAATCCATACCTCCAGCCCACCACAACTCCTGATTCAGATCTTTGTATCTGAAAAAAATTCACTCAAAGCATAACAGAGCTGAATGAAGACCAACTCTTTCCTTCGAGAAGCTAGTATCAGTGAAGCAGTGACTCTAATATAATCTATGTAGCAAGAGCAACATCAAATAACCTACATGAAGAACAATGTGTGAAACCTATTAACATATTTAGGTTAATAGCATCTTGTTAAAAAGCCCTCCGAGAAGAAAAATCTAACAGAACAGATTGCCTTCTTTTATTTAAACTGAATTTTAGACTTCTGTTAACTGTGCAAGAGAGAGTTATTAGAAAACATTAATCTTTTATGAAAAAAGCCTTCAAAACTAAAAGCAAGATTACCTCAGTAGACATTTCCTTTCACGGAAGAGTAGAGGAAAGGCTGAGTGAAAGCTAACACTTCCTTCTATAGTAAGTCAGAGAGTTAGAAGCTAAACAAAGGAAAGCGGAAAGCGGTGGCAAGAGAAAGGGAGGACAGATGATCCCCAGGCTCAATAACAAGACTCCACCTCAGAACCCTTCTCTTGCTGTAGAGCATGAGACTGAAGTCAGCCTATCCAGTCAGGAGCTCTCTCATGTCTGCTGCCCCTCCTTTCCTGTCAGGTAAGAAGGCCCTTCTCTTCTGGCAGAGGGGCCAGGTGACACAATTCTGACCAATTATATAAAAGAAGAGTTTCCCAAAGTTCTGATCTTGAGATGAGCTTGGTTTTCTCTTTCTTTCTCTTTCCTCATGCTGAGAATCTGGATTTGGACTTAGTGGTTGGAAAGCTATCGTTCTTCTGCAAGCCGAATAAATGTAACAGCCTAAATATGGACTCACAGAAGGCAATGCTGGCACCATGACATCCCTCCACCAGCACAGAACATTTTATGGATTTCCTGTTAAGTACTAAAAGAAGAGAAGTTAATCCTATTTTATTTAAACAACCATTATTTGGGCTTCATGGTACATGTGGTCAAAGTCAGCCCTTAACTAGTACATTTCTGCTCATAGAGTGAAAATTTTATTATTTTTTTTTAAGTAGGAACTTCAGT